CCTAAACCCTAGACAGTGAATGCTAAACCCTAGACAGTACATACTAAACCCTAAACACTAAACCCTAGATTGGAAATACTAAACTCTAAACACTAAACCCTAGACAGTAGACAGTAGACAGTAGACAGTGAATGCTAAACCCTAAACCCTAAACCCTAGACAGTAGACAGTAGATACTAAACCCTAAACCCTAGACAGTAGACAGTAAATGCTAAACCCTAAAACCCTAAATCCTAGACAGTAGACAGTAGACAGTGAATGCTAAACCCTAAACCCTAGGCGGTAAATACTAAACCCTAAACACTAGACAGTAAACCCTAAACGCTAAACCCTAAACCCTAAACACTAAACCCTAGACAGGAAATACTAAACCCTAAACACTAGACAGTAAATANCTAAACCCTAAACCCTAAACACTAAACCCTAGACAGGAAATACTAAACCCTAAACACTAGACAGTAAATACTAAACCCTAAACACTAAACCCTAGACAGTAATTACTAAACCCTAAACCCTAAACCCTAGACAGTAGACAGTGAATGCTAAACCCTAAACCCTAGACAGTAAACACTAAACACTAAATTATAGACAGTAAACACTAAACCCTAGACGCTAAACCCTAGACACTAAACACGAAACCCTAGACATTAGTCCGTAAACCCTAAACACTAAACCTTAAACCCTAAACACTAAACCCTAAACCCTAAAACCTAAACTCTAAACCCTAAACCCTAAACTCTAGATTTGATAGCCATTAGGAGGAGGGGTGAGTAGAGAGCCACAGTAAAGAGACGAATGATAGAGAGAGAAACAACTACTGCTGCTGCTGTTGCTGCTGCTGCTGCTGTTGCTGCTGCTGCTGCTGCTGCTTGTTGCTGCTGCAGCAGCATCCTGAGTAGAGCAGCAGCACAAGGTCCTTTATCTCATATATCATCTTTCTCCTGCTGCTGCTTTTTCTGCTCTTCCTGCTGCTGCTGCTGCTGCTGCTTTTTCTGCTGTTCCTATTGCTGCTGCTGCTGCCGCTGCTGCTGCTGCTGCTGCTGCTGCTG